TATACATTCTCTGCCTTTGAATGTCCATCTTTTTCACTACATTCTAGATAGAGGAATATTGTTACTACATTCTAGATAAAGGATATTTGTTACTACTGTCTAGATACGCAAAAAAGCACTCAAGTTCAGGATATAAAAGCCATGTTTATCTCAAGTTTGTTGATTGTTAGTGTTATCTCTTTTTGAAGATGTGAGAGACAAATAAAAAGATAAATTCTTCTAAAATCGTATGCTTATACCAATGGTTTACAGTAGATCAGTCAGCCAAAAAAAAATTATCATGAGTTTAGGATTAGAGTTAGAAATTGAGATAGGGTGGTATTCACTCTATTAATTTTAAATATCACTGTATATTAGTCTTACTCCTTTTTCCAAACAGTTTATTATTATAAATCACAGAAACTAACTGTACAACTTCCCTGCCATAAGTTTTTTTTAAGGTACCAAAGAAGTTTAATTACATAATATCTAGTCCTAGACTTGAGCGTAAACACATACACATGCTAACAGAATACAAGGAATATATTTTAGATATGCAATAGTGCCATAAACTAATGTGGTTAAGGTACCTCAAAATTAAGAAATGATCGTAATTAATTTGGCATACAATTATAAACTGTAACAATCTAATATTAATTTAAAAATTTTTTACAATTACTTTCTATGCATCGGTAACCTTATATAGTTACACTCTAAAGTATCAACTTTATTAAAAAAAAAAAAAAGGAATCGTTCCCACTGCTTTAAAAAACACTCTGTTGCAGCCTGAATGTGCACACACATGCACATGAAGCACACACATGCTCATACACAGATACTCCTAATCTTACACCTGCTCTGAAGCAGTAGGAAGTGAATTCTCAACCTGTCAACATGACCATCTGGTCTATCTGCATATCACGGCTTTCTCTATCACTCTATGAAGGAATGGCAATCGCGAAGCCAAAATAAAACTAAAATGCACCTAAATGGGAGTCTCTCTCTTTCTTTGTTGAAATGGAATAATATGTGGCATATCAGAGCAAAACTCACAGTAATGTAAATAATTTAAAATGAGCATCCGTGCCAGCATAATTAAGTGAACAATATGGCACAGGTGATGTGGTAATCAGTAATACTGCTGTACAGGTTTCCAGGACAAGTACCAGAATTCTGAGATACTGCAACAGCTCTTTCAATGACTGACGAGACCGTTGCTATTCCTAGTCCAAGCAAAGCTAAGTTAAGGTAGTAACAGGGGAAGCATGAAAGCAATCAGTAACTATTGTACTAAAACGCTGCCGTGCAAAAATGTTCACTTCGTAACTTAAGTGCTTGTGCTACCATTAGGACAAATTCAATTTTCTCTTTCACTGGTTAATTAACAATCACAGCAATTACCTGACAAATTTTGGTCATTTATTGGTCTTTCAAAGTGAATTTTAAGACTACTAAAAGTACTTCCAATCTTAGAAACTTCGTCATCTGCAAAAAGTGAAGGTGTTCATGTGATTTAGCATTTGGACCCAAGGCCACTTGAAAACTAGTACAGGCCTAAATTGAATTAAACATAATTCTAATTAATTTTGGTTTTTAAACATCTCTATATAGCTGCCTCAGAGCTTTCATTCTAGCCCACAGCAGGTAATAACTATCAAAAATAAATTGTGACACTGTCATTCTACGGTCTAGATACAGCAACCTACCTCTATCCAAAAGATAAGCTCTCTAAAAATGTAACCTCTTATAAAATTTAACAAACTCAATTAAAAATCTTCCTAGAATCTGATTACATTACCAGAAGTTTTACAGAGCAGTTTAAAAAAAAAAAAAAAAAAAAACAACTCTCCAGAAAGTTCTCGGTTGAGTGCCTACTAATGAACAAAGGTTAACTTTATCTAAAAGGTCAAATGCCTGGTGGCTAAGGTTATGACCTTAACAACTTAAATTGTGACCTTGCCACGTGCCGGGTATATTGTAGATTCTGATACAGATCATCTGGTAAAGACTGGCCATAAATTAGCTTTACTGTTACACACCCACAAAGAAAACCATTTGCCACAATACCATAATATCTGCAAGTTGTCATATGATACAAGGGAAGGACGACTCAAATAGAGAACAAACTAGGGGCACAAAATGATTTTACCCTTTTATACTTTTAACAAGACGAAATTCTCAGGCTTTAGGAATCTCTCTGATTTCACTATATTTGTTACTGTTTATCAGCCACAAAATTCACACAGTTTGAATGCCACTGGATTTAGAGGAGGAAAAAAATGGAATGTAACTTATGTATTGTATTTTAGTGTCTCAATATGTCTTAGAATAAATCACCTCTACTTTTAAAATATGGTTGATTCTGCATGAGCTCCCAGCATTTACATGCATATGCTAAGCTTTCAACTTCCTACCAAAAAGGAGACCGAGGAATAAAGCAATAATTGTACGCATTTTTAGAAGGAAAAAAAAAGACATCATTTTTGTGGCCATCTAGGGGAAAAAAACAATATATAACATTTTAAATGAAAGAGAGCGGGGAAAAGCATACTATAGGTGAAAAGGACACAATGGTTTTGGCATGTTTCTTGAAGCACGTTTCAGAGTCTCTGCCTCCTGCCAATACTGGCAAGTTCTCAAAACTTTTAAGGAGGTAAAAACATTGTTTAGTGTTTACAAATCTTCAGTATTATAACAGATGCTTGTCAAATCCGTTGCATGTAAGTTGACCAGTCTACCTCATATTTGTATTGGCAGCTTCCCTTCCACAAATAACAGGTCTCTAAATCTCTTAAATCAAATTTGAAATATTTTCAGACAAAAGGCCCCTCATATTTTCTTTTGCAACCATCCTGTTGCGCGCACACAGAAGCAGCCATTACTGCGCTCCAGCAAAAGCCAATGGCCTACCACTTGGCTAGCATTCAGGCCTAACAAGGGATTCTGGGATATAACAGGAAAACCAAACCGAAAGGTAGTCTGATCCATGTTGCTGTCAATAAATCTTTCATAAGCAATAAGGAGGTTAACTCCCCTACGCAACCTTCTACAAGTCATTTTACCAACATCACCCTTCAGGTACTGAAACAACCAGCAACTTGTTAGCTCAAGAACTTGGAGCAACAGCACAATATCAATGTCAACAACAAAAGAAAAAGAACCAATGTGATGGCAGTAGCTAGAAAGGTTGCAGCTCTTAAATCTAAGGGAAATGTTTACTGCTAAAACTTAGAATAGATGCTGCTCACACTGATAAAAACGTAACAGCTTTTCATTTTGATGTTACTTTGTAAGGAAGTAAACACCATGATGGGCATCACCTGTTGGACCCTCAATTTTCAATTAGAGCATTTATTATAATTTATAAATTACTTTCTAAATATTGAGAAGATTAAACACATTTTAAAGAGTGCTCCCTGAAGCATTTAGAACACCTCTACTTTTTTTGCACCTTGCCTTTCCTTATCAGAATCTCCGCTTATATATACAAATAAATTTTAAAAAACTTGAACTTGCCGTTTTAAATACAGATAGCAAAGTACCAACAATAGGATGGAAAGGGGCTGAAGAAACGACTACTTCTGTGCAGAGGGCACTCACTTGAGAGATGCTGCTTTTTCATTTTCACCACTTAAAACTGCTAAAGCAACAGGCACTTCTTATAATTAAGTATACGTTTTCAGAAACCCAAATATTTGAAACACTTACATATCACATCTTCTAAAATACTCATCTATCCCCTGCCAACAGAATGCAAATGATGATGTGACATGCTTGCAAAGTTAATGCCTCCAGTTTCTTATGTAAGGACAGATGGATAACAAAAGTTCTCTTTCTAAAACATATATTGAGAAAAATAATAGCAAATAGGATTTCAGCTATTTGTTTAAAAGATAACTTGCACTTTTAGAGTTAAAAATGTTTTACAAAACAGTACACTGTTGATTTTACAGGTAACATTTTCTCTCTCCTTTGTGTAAAAATGCATAATGTGAACCCCAAAACAATCTACTGGTAGGATTCCACAACCAGCTCTCTTCCATCTGGCTCAAGTAACTGCCATTAAGGTGATCTATCAAAACCGATATGTACATATAAAAAGTCAACAAGTTACAAAAGACCTGAGCTTTCACATAACACAATGAGCCTTTTGTCTAAAACAAGACGAAAGGAACAAAGTAAAAATGCATTATTTTATCTGGCTCTCAATAGTTTTATCCCTAATGCTGCTCTAAATGCTGTAAAATGTACAGGTAAAACATGCCTTGAAAACAGCCCTGAACCAATAAATAATTTTATTATGAATCAAAGCAACTCACTAAACCAATTACCAACATGAATTTCTCAATGCACTAATACACAATGCAGGTTGGTTACTTTTCAGGTTAGCCTCTCCGTCAATTACTTAAAGAGTTGGCTTGCTTTTTCCCTTAGCTATCTTAGACAACACTAAAAGTTCCTAAATATAAAGCTACTAAGTTTGCATATTAATGTAATTCTTTTTTTCTCATAAACAATCAACAATTTGACAGTAGTCTTACCTCCAACGTCCTCTTAATTAGCAAGGAGTTCAAGAGGTCCCAGTAAGTTAAAAACACTCCCAGAAGAAAAGCAACCAAAAATATTGCTTCACTACCAAACTAAATGCTTTTTAACTAGATCACTTGCCAGGTAAAATATACCCTTTATCACAAGGGTTTTTATGAGGCTTCTCTCACCCACTATCCAAAAATTGATTTAAACATATCGCATAACGAACTATCCAACACCTTTGACAACACTACTTGCCAAAAGAATTCAGCTTAGTGAGACTTATCTCAGAGCTATGCTTTTCCACTGAATGAAGGTGGTACCTCACACACGGACGGAGGCTGCTCTGACTTTGGCCCACCTTTGAAACCACACTGTCTCTATGCACATAGCCTGCAACTCAGGGCATTCAGGAATGGCCCGGCACATACACAGATCACCAGGAAAGAAACACACAAGAAAGTGGAACAACTTCTCACCATCGCACTTACCTGCTGCATGCACAAAGTATGCCAAATATAAATCGAGTTCCTTAACAGAAACCCCTATGTGATGGGGCTGGACACAGAGCCCTGGATTAGAGCACTGTGGGGACTTTACAAGGCGCTCGCCATCAGTACTTTCGAGAGGAATACCTTTAAATAAAATCACCATAACCAGGTCCAACCTCCAGACTTTATCTGCCTGGCGGAGGCAGTCAATTCTTCGCATCTTGCCTTTCTGGTCTGGGTTGGAAAGAACACAACATGGAGGCTTTTTCCCTGTAACTGTAAGCACAAAATCCTCTCGGTACTCAGGTCGGATATCTTTCCGTAACTTGGCCAGAAGTCGAGATGCCCACTTCTGCTTGACCTCTGGTTTTTCACTTAACAACTCATCCTTCACGGCTCTCTCTTCTTCTTTTGACATACGCTTTTCATGTTTTTTGAAGTATTTTCGTTTTCGGGCCTGCAGGTTGAACCATGTGTAGGCGAAGGCTCGGACGTGGGGCAGAAGTGCTTCGATGAAAGGATGAAATTCATCCTAGAGAAATGAGTAAAAACAAAAATATGACCACACTGAAAACAAAAGAAACAACTGTTTTTCAGATGGGTTACCTAAAGAAAAAAAAATCTTTATTTCACTTGAAATTTGATGCAAGGCTTATATTACCAAAATCGTATCTAGAATCCCTATGGGAAGTTCAAGAGGGAAGAAAAAAAACTACCAGTATCATTTTTCACAACCTAAAAAAGAAAAATTACTAAAAATTAAATACTGTTTTGGTATATTACCAAAGTGTCCCCGGTTCTATGGTCAGGCTGTAGTTGCAAATCCTTTAGATAGCAAGTAAGGTTTACCGAAATGCTTATAACAATATATAATACTAACCCTATTTCAAGGAAGTCGTATCTAATTTTGCTCCAGCCTTGACCTCACTACTTGTAGTACAGCCAGAGTTCGGCCGCCAGATTGGCAAATCCTAAACATTTAGATGCCAGTCAATGTTTATGGAAGTCTAGGAGCAAAAATCATCTCCGCAATCAATGAAAATAAAGACCTTCCCTCTAAAAACATTGCATAGAGCCTCTGATCCGTTTCCTAATCATTTTGGTAACATCTTAATTCCTTTTTAAGTATTACAGTTGCACATAAATATTTTTACTCAAAAACTTAGAAAAATATGTCAGCGACCATATACAAAAGGAGACACGAATCTGTTATTTATCAGACTAAAATAGAAGATCTATGTCCAAGATATAATTGCTGATACTATGGAAATGAAACAAAAAAGGGGGAAAAAGGAAAAAAACAAAGAAGAGCGCACATGCCAGAGAGCAAACAGAATGCAACATTGTGACAACAGTGTTGCAACTAAATACATTTAATTTACTGACCGACATGATTGTGAAATGCCTTCAGTAATGATCATCCCTAAAACACAGAAGAACTATTTAACTTTTGAAAATAATATTTCAGGCTTTTTCTCACAGAAAAATAAAAAAGAGAACCTGGTATACTGAATGTTTACAAGACTCCAGGAAACACTGAGGTGGTTTCTATGAGTGGTTGCCTTTTAAAATTCAAGTAATTTGAAAATAAAATTGAATTTAAAATATTTAAATTTTCTTACTGTTTTATTGAAGCTGTTTGATTCTTTTACTCAACATTTTCTTAGTAAATATAAAAATAAAATTGAAGAAAAATTAAACAGTAACCTCCACAAAGCCTTCTGAGTACATCTAACTTTTGATTAACCAACCCACACTAATCTTACATAACTTCTCTCTGCCGCTCAACTCCCTCCAAAAGATAAATTATTTACTTTCAAATAAATGAAGGTAAAAAATTCGAAGAGATGCTTGATGACTTTTTTAAAGGAAATGTGACAGACAAATATTATAAAATTCATTCTTTTTAAGTTCATAATATCCATCTAAATATATACTGTGGAGGCAAAAGTAACAGCAGTATCCAAAATACTATTACTATTAAAGCAATTACTAAATTTTTAAATGTTCAAATGTAAACTGAGGGGTTAAAATCAGTAAACTATTTTAACAACAGAATCTGTTAAAATATTATAAATTATAATTTATTATCTAAACACTACATAGCGTTGTTTTTAAAGTATATACTAATTAATATATAATAAATCATTTCAATAAAAGACATTTATTTTTTTCCTCTCTGAACAAATTTCAGGCTTTGCATTTCAACTTTAGCTTGTAAACTGCTCTTTCTCAACAAAGAATCCAAAAAGAAGTCAGCTTTTATAATATGTGAGCATTCTTTAAGTGAAGAGGGAACAGAGAAAAATAAAGAAATACATATTTCTTTACCAAAAACTATTAGCATTTTTAAATTTCTGATGTTTGGGCATCTTTCCTATTGCCATACTGTTGAAGAGAGAAATGGGGCTGGGAGGGCAATTTTCAAGTCACAGCTTATCTAATAAAGTACACGCCATATACCGCAAAGCATTTAAACATTACTAAATATTGAGCTCCCCCTTGAAATGCTCTAAAATGCATACATTTGGGGTTTGAAACAGTCCTTCACATTGACTGATTTTATTACATACACAGGACACGCTAGAAACCAAGGCTGTAATGGCATTATGTGAAGAACTACTGGAGTCTACCTTAACAACAAAGTGAGCTTCCACCAAAAGAAGGATTTATTTTTAAAGTCTCAGCCCCATTTTATAATGCAAAGAACAATATAGCTCCAAACAATTCATATTTATCTTTAAAAGTTACCTTATTAAAAAGCTTTATTAATAATAAACATTTTAAGTAAACATTCTAATATAGCATTTAAATGCTCAAAGATAACTCCCAATATGCTTCTCAGATAACTGCGAACTGCATTCATTCATGTTCAAAGGGATTTTGTTTACCTGCCAACCAAAGGCCCATATATCTCATCATAAAAATACTTAAATGAGGCCAACTATGTCAACTAATCATTAAGAATAATCTAAGTCCCCAATTTTGCATCAAAAGTATATACATCTTATTACTCCCCAAAGATTTCAAGAATGTGCCAATAAAAGTGCATAATATTTTGTATAACTTTACTCACATGCACAATTAAAGTGCAGGTCATCTTTCTCAACTCACAATTAGAAATATTCCAGAATATCAGAACTAAAGATTATCATTAACTTGTAGGAAATGTCCAGGTATAGCATACATTAGTTTTTAAAAAAATAGTATGCCTTTACAAATCATGTTGTTGCACACATAGCCATAAGGTATGTATGAACTGAAAATATTCAAGAGAAAACAAAGAATGTTTTACATCTGTACTTAGTGAGAAAGTTACAGGCCACCAATAAAAACAAACCTGTTTCAAAAGCGGTATGGCTTTGACTCAGCACCTTAAATATTGATCAGTTTGTAAGGAAGGCAAGTTTGAGAACCACTGAGTGCTGGTATTTCTGGGACTACTTCTCAAAGGTTCACCTATAAATTTCTACTCTGTTATCATTCTGTGGCCAGGTACATGCTTTGGTTCTGATATGCCTATGTATTAAAATAAGATGGCCAACATTTTTATGGTAAAGTTTTTTTAAAATTGCATACATGTATTTGGAGTTTATTCTCTCATTTAGAATATTTTTATCACGATGCTTACTGGACTTTCTTTAATGACGAATAGGCTCTTCAAGTTTTCCTTTTTAAAAACTGGCTATAAAGCTCTATCAATATTCCAGCAAGTTGAATAAATTGTAAATCAATTTTTAAAAGAAGAAATCATAAAATATATGGCCTTCACTTGCTATTCGGTGTACATTTTCTTCACAAACTGTTACACTAAGTAAGCGTTTCTCTTACTGGTGTTTCCAGAAGAAGGCCTAGTGAATTTATCAATCACACTGCCAAATATGTTTAAAAAAAAAAAAAAACTTTTTTAATGTGATAATAACTCACAAACCAAGAGAATCCAACTTTCTGCAAATACCTAACTACCCCCTGGGCCTGCATGGATACACAGGTATCCTCCTATATGCACCATCCCAAAATATAAATGTATCTTTTCGAGAGCTTACTTGAGAAGACGCTAATGTATTCTGCCACTGCAGCACACTGGTATTATCTACAAGTTCTATGTGTTGCAAACTTTTGCCAGTTAGAACTTCAGTCTTTGAATCTCAGCGTTTTCACTGTAGTCCTAACTCATTCAAATGATCTTACACTTTGCATCTTATCCATATGCAATTGTGAACCTTGCCAGAGGGGTTGGAAAAGTTTCATTCCATACTTCCACAAGTTACCAAAATAGGAACTTAGAAAGTTTGTTAGAGAAAAATAAAAAACTTTTACAATAACTAAAAGCAACTGCCATCCATTATTAATGCTAGGCCTAAATCCCAGACAGACCATTTGAACATAAAGGTGCATTTAACAGTCTTCTAAGATCAAATAACCGGCATTTTTACTGTTAGATACTGCAATACGAAGGGATGTCATGTGGGAAATAGATCCAGGATCTAGAAAGGAGAGGATTAAAAAAAAAAAAAAAAAACTATTGATACTTTTTAGCCTTCCAGAAAGTATTCCGGTTAAACCGTTATCTCCTGCTCAATGAAGGCAGTCAGTGGTAGCAGGTTGTTTGTTGTTGTTTTTTTTTTAAAGAGTGAACAAACATTTTAGAGGAAGCATACAGCTTCATGTAGGTGATTAATGGTCAGATCGCAACGTACCATAACAGTATGAAAGCTCACACTTTTGAAAAAAAAAATTTTTTTTAGCGCAAAATCACTTTGACTTCATGCCTTTTAGTCAGAGAAAATAAATAATATATTCAAAAGGGACCAGATTGGGAGCCATGAAGTAGCAATATTTTGCCTAGGGGTGGTGCAGACACAAGAAAGGGATGGAAAGGGAGGGCATGGAAAGGAGGGGCGGCGGGGCGAGAGAGACCCACGCTCCGAGTTGAGTCGGAGGGAAAAGTTGCCCCTGTCCTGCGCGCGGAGCGTCCCGAGTCGCGCGGTGGCGGTCGCGGTGGCGGTGGCAGCGGCAGTGGCAGGAGGCGGCGGCGGGGGGAGCCGCGTCCGGCCCGGGCCGCCGCTGGGGCTCGCGGCCGGGAGCCCAACTCCGCCCGACGCTCCCTGGCCCGCGGCCTCCACCGCGCCGCGCAGCGTGGGCTCGCCCCGGCACCGAAACTTTCACTCGGGAAAGCGAACGGGACACGAGCGACGAGGAAGCAGGCTCCGCCCGGCTGGCGCGGGGGACGCGCGTCCACGCAGCCCTGCTCCGCGGAGCCCAGGGGCCGGCTCGCCGCCGCCCGCACGCGTCCGAGGGGCGCTGTCCCGGCCGCGGCCGGGGACGCCTGCCCGCGTCCCTCCCGCGGCCGGACCGCAACGGCTGACAAACAATAAACAAAAGTAAGAGTTGGAGGCGGCTGCTGCGGCGCGGGCTCCGGAAGCGGGCCGTGGGCGCGGGGACCCCAGGTCTCCCGCACCCGGGGTTCCAGTTGCCCGGAGCGTGCGGGGTGTGCGGTGGGCGCCGCGGAACTACCAGACCCGGCCTCCCGGCTGCAGAAACGCTGAGTCTAGATTTCAGCGTGTCATGGGCTGCAACCCGCTGAAACACGTGCGGGGCGCCCGAAAACAGCGCCGTTCCGCAGTCCATCGCCCCGATATTAATTAACGCATTAATAAGAGGGCGCCATTAGCCATGTGCCCACACAAATGGCGTGCAAGAGGAATGCACCCGCATGGAAACAAAGTTACTTTCTTAAAGCTGTATTCCGCACCCCCCCCCCACCACGAGCACACGCGCACACACACGCAGACACGGGCACACACCAAGACACATGCCCCGGGCCCAGCCGGCGCGACGGTCCCCGGCACCCCCTGCCCGGCCCCGGCTCGGCCCCCGCCCGCCCAGCCCCCCCAACCCCACCGCATCCCAGCAGCTGCTTACCTGGGTGAGACAGAGCGGAGAATACATAACTGCCGGGCGCCGGGGTGTGCGTGTGCGTCTGGGTGTGCGGTTTGGAGGTGTGCGTGAGTGCGGGTGAGAAAGGAGAGAGAGGGAGAAAGGAGGAAAGAGAGAGAGAAGGGGGGAGAAAAAAAATCAAGCCTGCTTCTTGCGTTCACATTTCCAAGTCGGCTCAACTGCAGCCAGCCAGCGCTATTGCCGCTCCATGGGCTGAACTTTAACCCCGCCTAGAGTTTCCCTACACTCCACTATACATGCCTACTGTACGCGGGCGTTAAAGGCATAGCGCACCCTTTCCCGCCCCCGCGCCCGCCCGGCCGGGTGCCGCGAGCTGCCCGCGCGCCGCCTCAGCCTCCGCTCTGCACCGCACCGCACTGCCGCCGCCCGCTCGCGCCGCCGCCGGGGGCGGGGGGTGCGTGGGGGAGGGGGCGGCTGCGGCGCCGCGCGGCCAGCCCGGTCCGAGCCTCCACGGCCGCTCGCGCTCGCTAGCTCGCTCCCTCTCCCGCTCCTTGGCTCGCTGGCTCTCGCGTCCCGCTGCCCCCCCGCGCCCCCCTCCGTCCCCGCTCAGCGCATTACTGGGTAACGCAGTGAGAAGCAGTTACAGTCTGTACTCCCGGGCAGCTATAGGCTGCCACAGGATGTGCTTAAGCAAACAAAACTACTTTTCCTCATCCCCATCCCCCAACTCCCGCCGCAGACCTTCGCGGACCTCGGGGGAGGACTTGGGCAACTTTGCCAGGTGGCCCGGCACCCCCAGGGTCGCGGCGTGGACGCGGGGAGAACCTGGGACGAGACCCGGGGGCCAATTTGCATGTATGCAAATTTTTTTAAAAATCGGACCTCCTAGGTAACTTTTTCTTTCCCTCTAAAATGCGGTACGGCTCAAAAGCATTTTAATCTCCCCAGCGAAGCTTTCTGTGGGAATAGATCGTCGGCAAAGGTAAATTATGCACAAAATCCTGCAAACTTTGTGCAGCTTCAGTCCGATGGCACGCAGGAGCGGGGGTGGCGGAGAAAATTTTCACCCACGAGATTCACCGGATTTGGGGGGTGGGGGTTATCTGGAGAAAGGGAGGCGGAGATTAATGAGCGTGTTCCCTCCCAGGACTGCGAAAACTAGTGGGTTTGAACACAGACGCCATAGAAAAAGTTGTATCACGTTTAGAAACAGCAGTGGTTTAGCTGTGACATCTCTTTCTTTTTAGGGAAAAAAAAAAAAAAAGTGTTACAGGGATGTCCCCCTCGGAAAGAGAGAGATTCTGGTCCCCACACGCGTGCCCAGAACTGGACCCAGGCTATCATTACCGTCCGTGTGCCTGGGACACCTCTGGAAGGGTGCCTTTTAAGAATCCCCTCTTTTTCCCTCCCCCAGGTAATAGTTCTTAAAATGGAAAAGAGCTTCCTGCAATTATTTTAGGTTTGCTAAAGTATTGTTTTGGCAGAAAAGGGGGGTGGTTTTTAGGGTTTGGCAAGTTGCCAATAAGCCTGCTTTTCCAGTTTTTTTTTTTTTTTTTTTTTTTTACCCTCATATTTTCTCTCTAGGCTCACCTCCCGGCTGAGGGGGTGGGGTGGGGGGAAGTATCCGTCCTTCATCCGAACCCTCGTCCCATCGCTTCCCCCTCATCCCCCTCGCTCTAGTGTGCAGCCTGCTGCCATTTGCAAATCCTCAAAATTCCAAAAGGAAAGACGAGTGTATCATGTTGAAAGACACTGGCACACAGACAGGGGAATATACACCTTGGTAGAGGTTACACAGCTTAGACAGCGTCTGAAAAGAGGAAATTCCTGTAGTAATGCCCACTCTGCAGGTGAGGGTCAGGTGAGGTGTTAAAGGCCGCACTCATTCAGACACACAACCCCCTTTTTTAAGTAAAGGACAACAAAAATGGCACTGGGGAGAGCAAAATGAAATCCTCTGAAATATTCTGCATCTGTCTAAAGTTATGTTATGTTTGTTCTCCAGTTACTTTATTGCTAAAACAATTCCTGAATGCTCAAGGGACCATTTTCACACTCCCGGATTCTAAATATCCTTGGGCATCTCTCCGCTTATTTATTAAGGGGTAAGGGGAAAGAATGACTTAAACCTTTAATGAGGGAGTCCCATTTTTCCAAACTAAACAACTGCCTTTCCTTGGTTCCTCTTGGATTTCAGTAAGGGGAAAATGTCCTAAAAGCTAAGCCGATTTACAGAGACAAAATCCCTGGCCACGAAAACCTTTGCTGGGATCTATAACTTCAACGCGCTCCAAGTTTCCTCGATAGAAGTTTCTGGCTGACGGTCCCAACATGTAACTGAGGCACAATAAGAAGTTATTGTTCAAGTGTGTACTCTTGGGAAGCTGTCTTCCAGAGCAGATTAAAATCTTTCTTTCTGTGTATCAAAAGGTAGACTTTTCACATCTGCTTCAATCCAAAATAGCAAAGATCCTTACTTTTAATTGAATCTCAAAAAGAAAAAGAAAGAAAAAAGAAAAAAAATGTTTTAAAAAGAAAAAAGGACTGGCACGTCTCCCCGGTTGGGAAAAAAAAAAATGGGGAAAAGTAATTTAATGCCGATATTTCTACTTTAAAAACTTCTTTTGTTGAATCGTGGTTGTGCCCGCGATTTCCAGCTTTCTGCGGTTAGCAATATTATCTTAAGTAACTTTTGGCGCCCTTCGTAAGACTTTTGGATATGGGACGATTGTTTGCGCCCTCTAGGCAAGGGCTGGATCCAAGTTCAGCACCAAAGCCCTTCACATCCGCTCCTGCTTTCTCTCCTATCTCCGCCAGCTCCCGCTCCCTCCCCCGCCGGGGAAGCGAGGCCCGGGCGGGGTAGGGGGCGCGGGGAGGGTGAGAGGAGGCGGGGGAAACACTACAAAGCACAGTTCCAACTACAGCCTTTGGAAACACGACTGAGAAAAATACAGTAGAAGAGTTACAGTTACAAAAAGGCTTCTGGTAACTTTCTCTCCAACAGGCATAAATTTAAATACACACACAAAGAAGCAGATGTTTCTCAAAGGGCAGTCTGGGGGTAAAAAACATTTCCAACTCTCTCCCCTTTTCCCAAGTTGCAAAAGTAAATCCTTGTCCAGAGTTCACAAAGATACTAAGGCACTTGAGAGAGAGCAGGGATGGAGGGAAGAAACAAAAAGGAAAAGATAGTAGAGAGAACAGTACAGGAAACAGGTAAAGTAGGAAAACCAGTTTACTACAATCATATAACTGATCCATTGTTAGGAAGGATTAAACCCCTTATTGGAAATAACCACTCCAATCATTTATTTTGCAAGTGTTGGGAGGCTGCCTTGAAATGGGATTGTCTCTGCGCAAAGGAGGCTCCTGTCCTGCTCTTGGCTATCCATATTCTTCCTGGCACAGAGCCCAGCCTTGCATTTACTGTGTTTTATTTGCAGAAACGTTACCTTGCCAGTTTTAGTGAAATCCTCTTAGATATATAAATTACGTCAATAAGGTTTCACTTATATGTACATCTCAAATACCTCTCATTTTAGAGGTTACTTTATAGGAAGATCTTATTAATAGGATTTAGATTTTAATACCCAAAACAGTAAAGTTGGGGTTCATAAGTGACAATGTCATTAACTGTAGTTCTTACTGAGACTAACTTTACCACTAACTTTATCATAGAGATATTTTTTCTTCTCTAGTTTTTTTAACCTGCTGGTCACTTACGTGTAGATTTTTCTTAAATGCATATATTCCTAAATTGAATCATGTTGTTGAACTGAGCAGCCAAGTGGATTTTTACATCAAATTTCCAAACCAGAGTTGATTAGAAGGCCTAAAGCCTTGGGAAATTGCTCAATGGGACTTTAATACAAAGATGGGAAAGAGCCCATATTATTTTTCACTCACTTCCCAACAGAATTAGGTGTCTACACTGCCCAAGGGGAAGGAAGAGATGGATATATTTTAGTCAGAGGCTGCCAGTTACCGTCTCCAAGATAAGCTACTGCAGTTGGTTTCCACTGGATTGGTGTCAAAAGGCTTGTCCGGGAGGCCAGATTCCATCTAAGAATTAGCCAGTCAGCAATCTTCCATGCGTACCCTCCGCAGGGGTTGTTGTAGTAACAATGAGAAATGTGAACTGGGCCAGTCTTAATATCCCATTTGCTACTGACCATATATTTAAACAGCAGAATTTAAAAAAAGAAAAAAACTTTTTCTCCCTCTTCCTTTCAAATGTAAAGAAAACAGCTGTCAGTCAGCTTGTGAAGTATCTCTTTTTTAAAACTGTTGTTTAGAGTTCAAGAGAGGCTTGCCCATACCTCAAAAGTACTCAAAAAGCCAAAGCCTCTCAGATAATCAGTGCAAGAAGTTTTGTAATGCTGAGTATGCATTATACTACTTCCCAAAGCTCACTACAGTCCCTTGGTTTAGGGAAGTTTTTAAGTCACACATTTCTAAAAGTTGAACCTCACTTTCCACAAGAGTTAACAACTCTGAATTTTTAAAAAAATGATAATAATTAATGCAAAGTTAAATATTTCTCTAGCAGAATTTTTCTAACTTTTCCAAAAAGACAATGAAGAAGGCATAAGATTCATGCAAAAATCCCCCAATCAGTTTTTTTTCTTAAACTAGAAAACTCTATCCTATTGTGCTTGCTAAATCCGGAAGAGCTTGTAGCTTTGACAGCTTGAACCACACCATCCCCTTCAAAGCCGCAGAGAACTTCAGATCTTCTCTGCCCCGCCCCCTCTGGCTATTGCGAACCATTGTACACCCGAGCTTCCTCATGATTGGATAAAGATTTTGTCAATCTCCCACATTGTCCCATTGATTAGAGGATCGAATCGTCAATTATTCTCCAGGTCCAGACATTTCTTTTTGGGTTAGGTTGACTGCTGAGGCCAGACGTCTTTTTACAGAACAGAGCACGTACAGGATTTTCCCCCCCTTTCTGGAACCGAGCAAGCGCTAGTAGGAAAAAAAAATCTGTCAAGCTCAGCAATTTTTCAAATCTCGGAAAAAAAAAAAAAAGGAAAGAAACCCGGTCCCTGCACGCCGAAAAAAAATAAAGCCATTTACAAACCTACATCTTTAAAAACAAAACCATCACAATAGACATTTACCCACCAATCACTTAAATGCATATGCAAGCTAGAGAAATTTTAAAGTCTTAGCCATTAAACAAAATCATTCTACCATTATTGTTGTTTATAAAACGCATATCCGTATAAACGCAAAATAGAAAGTTTAAGATGTACCACGTACCATTGCAATGTAAAAAGAGTACGTGAGAAACTTTAAAATGTTCAGGCGAATTGCTTCATTTGTTGTGTCCTTTTTTTTGCATTAAAAGAAATCTAAATAAACTTGGAACCGTTGAAAACCCGGAAGAGGTTTTTTTTTAAAGCTGTTGGCCAATTGCAGGCTTCTTGGAGATTTTTTTTTTTTAACTCCAAATCAGAAGGCTTTTGCAATTGCAATGCACGCTCTCTGCCTCT